TATGTGCATATAAGGATATATACGTAAATAAAGATATAAATACGTAAATACAAAATTTAGCATTGATTTTCGTAAATCATGGACATATGTAAATATATATGTATAAATGACGTAGATTAAGTTTTGCATTATTAAAGAACGAAGGATATACCGTATCAATAAAGGATTATAATAGATTCAGAAAATTTATGCATATATAATATAGATACGATATTGTTTACCCTACCGTATATTAGGTATATTAGGTAGATACCATAATTTAATGAATACACACATATATGAATCATACTTGTATATTATAAATCACAATTTTAAGAAGGAAAATATAATAAAATCAAGATATATTAGATTGAATATTATCAATCGTGAATTGAGAGTTGATTAATTTAGATTATAATAGATTGTGGTTGAAATTGTGACTATTTCCATATTAGTATTTCTATGTATAATTAATATATATATATATATATATATATATATATATATATATATATATATATATATATATAGAGAGAGAGAGAGAGAGAGAGAGAGAGAGAGAGAGAGAGAGAGATTATGCATAATAGCAATTCCATATTTGAAGTAATAAAGGATTAAGTACATTTTTTGACGTAAAACTATCTATTTACATATATAGTATATCAATTAATAAATAGATATGATATATATTAGGAATTAGTTCCATATTTACTGTAATACGAATTTTAAAGAAGAGCGGGAAAATTGATGCATATTTACGAAATATACATATTTAGGAAATGTATTTAATCTCGTCTAATAATTGTTATTAATAATTTGTCCTTAATTAAATAAGATTCCCTTTATTTATTAGTATACACTTATTGAAATTAATTCCTCACTGTAATTTATGCCCTAATTTAGATATTACATTTAGAAGAATATACACAATTAATTACGATAAAATTTAATCCGTATTAATTTGAAAATATTAATTTCATAATTAACTTTCATAATTTAATCTGTATTAAATAGACATTATACATATAATATATAGTGACACATGGCTGATGATTAGGATGCCTATGTGGATGGTGACATGGATGACACATGTCGTAATTCTAGACCATGAGAGTTTCAATTTATATTGAATCACACATATTACTTCGAATTTCTATGATCTTATTGTGCTTTTAATTGAAATTGAATATCATTGTTTAAGCTGAAAAACTTTTTACTGGCTTGTAATCCACATATCCCATGTTAATGTGATAAAGTAAATAATTAACAAATATGAGAAGATAATTATCCAATATAATGAAATATTGAAGAAGGATTTATAAATTATTCGAGAAATAAAACAAATTATCAAAAATCGAGTATTTTGAGTTGTTTTCATTATTACTAAATAAAAATTAATATGTAATGGGATGATGCCAAGACTTACACGTAAACACAAAGAATAAAATAAGTTTCGAATAAGCATTGGAAGTAATATTAAATTATTTACAATAAAATGTAAAACTAAATAAAATGAAATCGGAAATATATCACAATTTGTTTACGAATGTTCACCATAAACAAAATATGATTTAACAAAATAAATTTGCCGGTATCGAAAGACATAAAAATACCATATATATTATAAATGATACAATTTTTGAATTACATTGTGCCTGTTACATTCATCAATTCAATAACATGATTTGCTACATTCAGCATTGTAATTGTAAATCAACTCATCATCAACTTCTTCATCGAAAAAGTCTTGTAATCATGCACGCTCATCTTGGTGATAATTGATATCCATATATCTACAAATCAAAACATTGTAAAGAAAAATAAGACAATCTACAAATCAAAACATTGTAAAGAAAAATAAGGCAATGCAACATAAGCATTACCAGAATAACAATTTCAATTTCTATATAACACGAAGATCAAATGATAATATATAACAATATCAATCAAAAATAGCAACCAATAAAGGAAAAAAGTACAACAAATGAATAATATTGAAAAAAATATCAAAAAGATTAATA